CGTTGGCATATATCTTGTGTGCTCGCGCAGAATATCTGTTTATCCGGAGTTTGGGTAAGCATAGTAGGGTGGTTTTCGGCATTCGCTTGATTGACGATGCCAGTCTGTTCATTGCGGAGGGACATCTGAGGAGTGCATCCGCAGAAGATATATTTTCGATATTTACTGAATGCTACCCTGATAATCTTACATTAAGAAGAACCGACATCGGAACGGGTATCTGGGACTTCCTAGGTTGCGTGGTGAGAATCATTAGCCAACGGCCATTCATGGAATGTGTTCAGGTCTCAAAAAACGAGGCAACGTTGTGGTCTGAGGAGCGTCTTACCTTCTTTAATGGGCAATCATACCTGTCTTGGGGCAGGAAGACTCAGAAAAGCGTAGTTCTTACTAGTCAGCTGCATCGTATTGATCGTAATACATCTGCTCGACATGAAATCCCGAGACGAGTTGTGTCATTGAAGAGGGAATCCAGGTTCAAGGACGAACCCTCTGATTTCTTTCTGAGGGTACTTCAGCGATTTGCTCACCGGCAGGATGCCCACTGGAAGTTGGCAGTTGATATGGTAAGCTGAAACTCTATCTTTCTGGTCCCTGCAGCGCTCTGCAGTGACAGGGCTTGTGACGAAGTTGAAGTCTCTTTAGTGACTGGTCCTTTTCCGGTCGGGACCAAGAGTGTATTTTTAGTTAGGCCTCTTGGAGCCCAGGCTTGTCTGGTTTTTGTTTGGACTTTGGTTCCACTATAGGATTTCGGTTTGAACTTTGTTTTCACTGTAGGTTTTGTAGAGGGTCATGATACGGGCCCCTTCTGTCTTTGCTTCGATTTTTGCTTATGCATCATGTAGTACTTTTTTAGGCCCCTTGAGCCCGAGTCTACGTGTTGTTTGGGGTTGATTTTGGCTCGTCTTGACCTACCCAATGAAGTACCCCCTATCTAGGGTAATAAGCGTAGGTAGTATTGATACCGTAAGTACTAGCACCTGGAATGTTGCGCACGAACTGTTAGCATCACGGGTACTTAAGCAGTGTTTGGTTCAGTAGTAATCCTCTCTCACGCGGTGGACCGTCCATCACGGCTTTGGCCGCGATTGACCGTAGGTTTGTGGTATGAGTGGCGGAGCGTTGGGATTGCGGTTGGGAATTGATTGATGATTACTGCAGTTTCTTTGCATTGTGAGCTACGTGTGATGTGTCCTGCTTACGTGTGTGGTGTGTTCTATCTTTGCACCCTGTGTAATGATGAGTACATGTGTGTTCTATCTTTGCACACTKCGTAATGATGAGTACATCTTCTTATCTCAACATAGACCTCTTGACGCACGTGTGRACCTTCCTGGAGTCAGTTACTGGGAGTGTGTGAGCACRATYTTGGGATCTTTGTTCCTTSTTACTTTGGCTACTTGATACTTGGACAGCCTTTGCCGCATGACCGCTATTACCAAGACTTCTGAGAGTGCCGAGTCTGGGGACGTCGGCTTAGTTGACTTTCGGCTCCTGTTCACATAGGGATGGCGGGCGATCGATAACGTCAAGGTTACAACGAGGGGAGGCGCCCCCGTACACCAGAGCGTGGGCGTCTGGATAACCAGGACCGTGATAGCAGTAGTGAGCGGCTTGGATCAAGAGGAACCAGTCGCGAATACCGCAGAGATGAACCTCACCGAAGAGCACCACCTACTTGCTTTGGATGCAGGGTGGTGGGTCACTATCGGACGGACTGCTGGCGGTATTGGACGAACCCTGTCGCCCGGCGGCAGATGGAAGCGGATGGGTATATTTGCCCAGCGGAGTTTAATCAGAGGGCAGGTCCTCCGTCACCCCCGAGGCAGCAGCAGCCGGCATCGAAAGTTGCAGCTAACAATCGCCTTGATGAGTTGGATCGAACGGTAGGCTCGGTCCAGGAATTTGTTGAGATGGAGCGAGCAAGGCGTGCGGAGAGGGAACAACGTAGGCGAGAACGTGAGGAAGGCCGAAGGGCCGAAGAGGAGGTGCGAGCCGCAAAGCTGAAAGAACGCTTCGTAAAGCTGAAAAACTACGTAAACGTCAAGAGGAGCAATTGGCGATGGCTAAGGCTATGGAAGTCCAGCTGTCCGTGAGATTGGGAGACATCCGTGAGGAGATAAAAACCAAGGTTCGTAAGGTGTTGACGAGTACAATGTTGAAGAGTCAAGTGACGACGACCGTGAACACCAAGGATAAAGGAAAGGCTGTTGGGGTAGAAGAGCCACCGTCTGCATCAGAGACTTCAAGTGAGGTGGAGGCGATAACGGAGGGAACGGGCAAGCTGTCTATTCGGGAGAAGAGGAAACGGGGCGAGGACACACCAGTGGAGGACAGCCCTCTGGTGGTTACCCCTGCTAAACGTACCAGCAAACGAACTGGCGTTCACTCGTTGCGCCTGTCGGAGCGTCTGCAGCAAACTCGTACGAAGATTGCAGTTCGGCGGTCAACCCGTGGAACAGCTACCAAGACACGCACCGCTATGAAGCCTCTTACTAGGGATATGATGATTGAACGAATGGTTTTCCTTGATAACGCTCGAAGGGAGCTATCTACGCTGGACTACGACACGCTGCGTAGGATTTGCCGCGAGGAAGGTGTCAGCTATAGTACTAAGGTACAGGCGATTTTTGATGTAGCCGATCGACGGGCGCAGGCGATATGTGGTGAGTCGCTACCCGACTTCGGTGTTTCCGAGAACTTGGAAGACCAGGCGGCACAATCTGGTAACGACGACAACGATGACGAAGGACGTAACTGAATATGGCTAACCACTGTCCAATGGGTCATTGTCACCGACGTCATCGCATCGTTCCGCCGAGAAGCTGACGATAACCTTGATGAGATTTACTGTCTTTCGGCTCTTTTGTTTGCTCTACGTGCCGGCTTCGATGGCTTAATAAATGTGTCGATTCTTGGATTAAGCTCTTCTCGCGTTTTGGTTTGAACTTTCTTAAACAGCCTAATTGTGTTTACGTCATTGCGTCAACTAGATATTAGTCGCAGTATGTTGGTCAAACCTCCCGTGCACCCTCGATCAGATGGAAGGAGCATTTGTCAGTGTGCAAGGGTAACCCTAAGAAATCACACCTA